AGGATTCTGGTTCTCCTTGATATAACATGTCAAAGCTGGAAATATCCAGTCATGGGCTGGAAACAGCTTTGACAATCTGATTGATGTGTGCATTAACTGAATTCACAACAGAAAATATATGATCCTGCAAGTGCTTATTTTTCCCCATGAAAATGATTACCACAAGCACTTTGTGCAGTGACATGTATGTGAACTTGTACCTGTGGTTTCTCAGACACAGTACAAAAGGATGTCACTATAATGAAGAGCCACTATCTCTATCATTTATTTGATATGTATATGCAAATGACAAGGCATTTAAAACAAGTATCTTTTTAATAAACTTCATGTTCTGAGCAGATTTTTTTTGTTACCTACATCTGCTTTTCTTTACTTAGGAAGTTTTTCAGTGATTCTGTTGTTTGGGGGTGTGTGGGGGAAGGCTGTATGATGTTACTTCTCGGGTACTGATATTTTACATGCATAATACAGAGGGAATGCTGCTTCAGATTTCTGTGAGTGTCTATGCTTCCAGTGCTGTTTTCCTCTCAAGAACACAGGTATCCCAAGAAAGATAATAGTTTCGTTTGGTATTAACATTCACTTACATCTCAGAAGTGGTTTTTTTAGCAGACCTCCCAGGAGATTTGCAGTCCATCCCTAATCATCACCCAGGTATGTCTGTGCATTGTTGGCAGTTGTGCATCAAAGATGATGTGTTTCAACAACAAGGTAAGCAATTTCTGATCTCATTTGCTCAAGCACGTTTATTGCATCTGAATTTTTGCCTTTAACACAGTACTGACTGGGGCTTCCGTGAAAGAGGAAGTGATTGTTATGTGTAGGTGTAAATGGAGATGACTGGAGACAGTTTCTAAGGGCTCAGTGTTTGGTGGGGTGGAGCCCATGCAAAGAGAAGGAAATGGAGATATTGGCAGGTAACAGAACAAAGAAGACTGCAAGATCTGCTAACAATCACACTGGCCAGAGGAGCTGGAGCTGGACAGACTAGCTACTGTCTAGTCTGTCTGCTTTTCTCTTCTGAGGTGGAGTTGCATGAAGTAGATGCTCATGGTGTGGTCTTTTACTTATATGAAAAGTAAGCTCATTCTGGGAAGAAAATCACAGAACAAAGGTAAATATGACAAAAGAAAGACAAATAATTAGGCAGATGTCTCATTATTTGCAAGACAACATCCGCTGTCATCAGAAAGAAAGTACCTACTCCCAGGGGTGAGAAGAAAATCTGACCTCTATAAAGATCCTGAGTCCAGATGTCAACAAGGACTTTTTTTAACTTTAGTTTTAGCAAGCTTTATGATTGCTGAAGGCTTGGGGTTAGCAAGGCTGCACCTGGTCAATGAGGCTGTGGAGTACAGCAGATAATGGTATCTTTGATCAATCAGGCAAAGCAGATAAAGATGCACTGCAAAAAATTGGCTGGCAAGCCACAGAAATATCTTTCTTATGTCATTCATCAATTCTTGGGATAGTCTTGTAGAAATTAATCAACACTAAAGTGAAAGGTGAGGGAGATACAGGCTGATGACATGTGCCTCGTCTCTAAGATGATGACAGGCTTTGGTTTAGTCATTTCATATGAGGCTTCCCAGGTCACTGGAGTTCCCCTTTCTGTCTCCAAAAGGTGGTCTTGGGATGCAGTCTTCCTATTAGTGTCAGGTAGAAATCTTTGCTAGCAATAGGAGGACAGTCTCCAGGCTACCTTATTAGGTACAGAATATGTGAAAATCACAGCAGCAAATAATACAAAGCATTTCATGGCTCTGGAAGAACTTGGCTGTCTCATAAAAGAAGGGCTGGCAGAGATTCGTCAGCCAGAGCAACTGTTCTTTTCTGTGCAGTTCAAACTTGTGAATAAACATGCAATCAGGCACACATTTAGAGAAGCAGTCATGCAGCTTTCTACAAGCTACAGACTAATGACAACTGGGCTTTAGGCAGGAACTATTTATACATTTCTGTCTTTCTAAGTACAGGAACCAGTGTCCTTGGTGTTTGTCCATTCAGCAATGAGCACCATGGTACTTGGTCTGTGATCACCTGGAATGCACTGACAATCATAAACAATAAATCCGATTCCTGATACTCTGTCTATGCACAAAGTGATTTTGGTAAGAGGAGAGGAAGAGTGACACCAGCACAATGTGTAACCTCAGCGTTTGTGTTATGCAAAATGGTGTTAGTTAACGGGCTGACTGTCACAAATTGTATGTTTATTTTGTACAGAAAGTTTAGATGGATTATGGTCTTTACCACAATTCTCAGGTTAAATACCATGCAAACTGTTTTAATAGGCATCACATTTTTCTGCCAACTCATCCCTGTATACAGGTGGAAAGAAAAGAGCTATCTTTCTCCTAAGCAGAAGCTTAATTTTGCTTCTTATACAGCCAGCTCTGCTCAGACCAGGAGGGATACTTGGTGGTGTCTGACATGGCTGGCAGCTCAGTCCGTATCATATGACATGCTGTAAGAGACACCTTGCAGAAGAGACAGTGTCCCTTATACTGTAAATCAGAGATCCAAAGCTTATGTATGTAAAATATATATTTTTAAAAGCCTTTTAGTTCATTACAACCTTGAATTAGTGTCCGGAGAAAGAGTCACACAATCTTCTCTAAGAGAAATTATTTTAATTTAGTGAGAAAATTAAGATATTTTGGCAAAAGTTTTTACAGGAGTAAAATACAAACAAACAAAAAATAATCACTAAAACCCTCAGTACAAAGACCCATTACACCCACTACAAAAAGTCAATACATCAGCTTTAGTAAAACACAACTCATTGGTTTTAAGTTACCCACAAGAGAAGGAAAAGATTAAAAGAAGAAAAGAGATTAAAGGGGTAACGAGAGAAGAAAGAGAGAAGCAGAGAGAGGAAAGGAAAAATGGTTACCTACAAGATTTGATGCTTCACGTGGTGCAGGCAGCAGGAGAAAAGGCAGAGAAAGAGAGAGAGAGAGAGAGAGAAAAGAAAAAATGGTTATCGACAAGATCTGGTGGTTCACATGGTTCAGGTTGCAGGAGAGAAGAGAAAGCTCACATGGAGTCCCATGTATTTATATATGTTTTCCCTCCCAGGCAGGGTATCGGGTCATTGCCTTCCAGGCCAGAGTGAGTTGTGCTGTAGCAGTCACAGGCTGCAGGGGTGTGGTGTGGGCAGGATACCAGGCAGGTCTGGCTGCAGGGCCTTCAAGTGATGCCATGTGCTCTGCCTGGGCTCAGCCATGTCTGCTGCAGGACCTTCCAGCGCTGCCATGTGCTCTCAGCAGGCCTTATGTGATAAGGCAGCCTCATCTCCAACCCATATCAATAATTCAGCGAGATTTGGATCCAGTATCTCACAGATGTGTGGGGTTCTTTCCTTGTGGGTGGCTAAGAGTGAAAGCTCTACACCAAGTAAGGAACAACAATAGTAATAAAAAGTAGTGTAATGTTTTTTAAAGCTCAATAATTCTGCACTTGCTCCTGCTGAGATACACCTTGCTATGAAGCTTATGTCACTGATGGGACTGTTCATTTGAGCGAGGCAGAGCAGCAGGGACATTATAATTAATAATGCTTAGCAGGAAACAAGTTATTGTGCTTGGGGCAGAAGGGCAAAAACTGTTCTCTATTATTTTTTGAAGAGTTAATTGGTAGTAGGCAAAGATTTGCTGCGTTGAGCCAGCAGGTGCTGCTTTATGACTACATTAATGTTAATGATATCCTCCAGACACATATGAAGACAGGTTAACCTGTTTCTTTCTCATTGCATTTCTCTGGGTGGATGTGTGTTCTGGTTCCAGTTATTTTTCAAGTGCTACCACAGAGCATTTGGACATACAGTGACCCCAGATTTGCACAGATCTTTGCAGGTAGTTTTGCAAAACCACATAACTCTTGTAACCTCTATTCACCTGGGGACAGACTGTAGATTAAAAGATGAGGGAAATGGGTAAAAGGGGCTGCTTCTCTGTCGTAAAATCATTCCTAGGAGTTGCATAACATTTCTACAATTACCTGTTTAACTGTTCCTAGGTGTGCTTAACAATAGTACCTGGGATCTAACTGTTTACTCTCTTTGTTCTTCACTGAAACCTCTATTCTTTAGGCATACCGTTAAAAGAGTACTCTGGCAGCAATTTAAATCCTGAGATGAGCAGGTGTTAAAACTGTGTTCCTCTAAGTAAAGTGTGCCATGGACCATCAAAGCATGATACATGCTAGAAAAGGTAAGCCAGTGGCTCCACAGAGCTTGAAATGTTTTTTTTTCCCTACCACTCTACATCTGAAGTTTAGTTATAAGCCTATATTTTTTTCTTCTTGATGTCCTTTTTGAATATCTAGTTTGACAAAAGTGCACTGTCCAGCATTAAACTTCAGAGATCCTTCAATATATTTATATTTTTCCTAGGATGCTGGTTTTGCACAAGCCCATCGGCTTCAGTAAAAATCTGGGTGCCATGGCAGGCAAAAATGCTGTGGAAGGACAGTCCCGGGAGCTGGGTGCAGAGCCTTTAGCAAAACTCAGGTGACAGAGCTACCATTTGAGAAACCCACCAGGTTTCAGACTGATTTTGAATGCCAAATCTAATTTTTAATAAGATTACCAGGTGGGTCCTGTGCCTTGTTAGAAGTCTGCCTCTGCAGATCTAGTGATAACAAAATGGGAGAACAAGTCTTGCATGCCCATAAGGACTGAGAGTTGTACTCAGCAGTGTTTTCCTGTTAGAATATTGGTACAAGTCCAAGTAAGTTATTTCAAAATTTCTTGGAAAATGAAACATGAGTAATCAGAAAGGGAGAGAAGAGTCTGTATAAAATCTTAGGAGTGAGTGTTGGACTTTACATACTCATCATTTTTAGGAATGGTACCTCTAGGGTGCAATGCTCCTCTAAGATGCTCAGGCCTCCTGGTGAAAGGGAAGGGGTTTGAAAGGCCAAGTCATTTAGGAGAATTAACAAATGTTTACAACACTGGTGCCACAGCCAGAGGTTCAGCTGCTTAGGTCATGGGACTCACTTTGAGAAACCTGGTCCACTTGGAGCCGATGGGGTTCGTCTGTCAGAGAAGGGAAAGAGCACCTTTGGTCATAGGCTTGACAAACTGGTGAAGGGGGCTTTAAACTAATGTTGGCAGGGGAGGGAAACCTCAATCCATCCCACCCCCAAAAGTTTGATGCCAGTGTCAGATGCTCAGAGCCTGGAGAGGGATCACAGGTCAGCAGGAGAGCACCTGAAGAGCAGCACAATGTGATTCTGGCCACTCCAACCAGTAAGTCAGTTTAATGGGGGACCCAGATTAAATGTCTCTATCAAAAGCATGGGGAATAAACAAAAGGAACTAAAGAAGTATACATACCTGCAGGGCTGTGATCTTATTGGCTTCCAGCAGATGTGATGGGGTGGCTTCTGTGACTGGAGTGTTGGAATGAAGGCATACAGGCTCTTCAGGGAGGACAGGATGCGAAGATGAGAAGGGAGTGTCAGCCTCTATGTCAATGACCAGCTGGAGTGCATGGAACTCTGCCTAGGAATGGATGAGGAACCAACTGCGAGCTTATGGGCTAAGATTAAAGGGAGAGCAGGGACAAGTGACGTTATAGTGGGGGTTTACTACAGGCTACCTGACCAGGAAGATTGAGTGGATGAGTTGCTCTGTAGACAGGTAGGAGTGGCCTCATGTTCACAAGCCATGGTTCTTACAGGGAACTTCATCCACTTCTATATCTGTTGGAGGAATAACACAGCAGGACATAAATGATCCAGGATGTTCCTGGAATACACTGATAATAAATTCCTTCTCCAAGCGATAGAGAAGCCAAGGAGAAAAGGTGTGCTATATTGGATGTTGTTCTCATCACCAACAGGATCTGGAAAGGAATGTGAAGCTCAAGGACAGCCTTGGCTGCAGTTATCATGAAGTTGTGGAGTTAGAGCACTCAGGACATTGAGAAAGGCACACAGCAAGCTCACTTGGACTTCAGGAGAACAGACTTTGATCTCTTTAGGTACAATGTCATGGGATAAAGCCTTTTAAGGAAGAGGGGCCCTGGAAAGCTGGTTATTAATCAAGGATCACCTCCTCCGAGCTCAGGAGCAATACATCCCAACAAAGAGGAAGTCAGGCAAAAATGCCAGGAGGTCTGTGTGGATGAATAAGGAGCTCCGGAGAAACTTAAACACAAGATCTGGGTTTCCAGGTTCCTTGATAATTCCTTGAGTTAGTGTCTGAATGGAATTTTTATGTTGCTTTCATGATTCTTCATGTAGCATTGTTTACAGTATAGTGCCTCTTAAGTCCTAATAGCATACTACTTTTTTAAGGTGTTTGCTTCCTCTTCTGTACTGCTTTTAACATAAAATGAAATGGTTAGACTTCAGTTAAAAAGATCCTTATTAAAGTAGGAGCTAGTCTGATAATGACTTAAATTGGTGCGACGTGGACATCACATGTTATTTGATAACCATTCCATTATAATTAAGAAGTGGCTAATAGACAATTAATATACAGGATTACACACTTAGCTAATTAGATTATTTAATTTTTTTTTTTTTTAGATTAAAATGTACAGGACCCCATAAATCACTATTAGAGATCATTTAATAAACTTGAACCCTCAATTTTCTCCCTGTCAATCAGGAATGGAACTACTGACTTTTCCTCTCACCCAGAGAGACTTGTCACATGGAAGAACTGCTGTGCTCAGCATGAGCTGAAATGCCCTCAATTCCCAAATCTTGCATCTGTTTGCAGGACATCACAGCTCAAATCTGTGCTCTCATGTTCTGTTCTACTCGTCAAGACCCACAGCTCCTGCTCCTGCACATGAAATGGAATGTTCCCCCTGTCCCTGTTCCCCACAATTTTAGCAGCCTCTTGCTTTGTGCCCATGAGAGATAGGAATTTTGCACGTGGCTTTCTGTAATCCCTGTCAAGAAGGGACAGTTCTTTTAAGTTCTGCAAAGCTGATCCCATTTAGGTGTCCCATGCAGCAGTTGTTGGCTCAGCAACACCTTCCCTTATAGAGTGCAAGTGTGAGCCAAGCTGAGCTGGAGCTCCCTGCTGGGGTGTGAGGCTCTGTTTTAACCACCTTAATTGAGGAGGCTAAGAACTGCAGACTCCTCAGCACTCCCTGCAGGGAGAGACAGCTGCGCCTTTGGGAAGTGGCACATCATATCCAACAACACTGAGGGCAAGGAAGAATTCACCTGCAAACAGTAGACAACTTTGAGATGTCTGTGTGTAACACCTACATGACAATAAAGTGTTTAACCTCTATTGCAGTCAGCAGAGACCTAATCAGTGCACTAATGAGGGTGAAGCATCACTTGGCTGACAAACCACGAAGGGCTCAAGTCTGTTGTCTGAACACCACTGCCTATTGCTATTTGGGGTTTGTGCATATCAGAGGTCAGGGACAGTGTGTTCAGCACATCCTGGTGGCAGGCCTGTCTCTCAGAGTGTCCCCTGCAGGGCCATGCAGGACACCCCCTGGTCACATGTGGCACACTGAGGTGACTGTATCCATCCAAATTGTCCCTGTGTTCAGAAAGACCAAGGAACTCCTCTGGGTGCAGTGTGAGCTCTGCCCCTCCATCCCCTGCAATGAGCGTGCCTCTGCCTGCAGAACTGAAACAAGTGCACCAATGATAATTTCTTCTACTATTTACTCAACAATAAACTACTAACGGGTTGTTCCAGCAGCACAGAGTGCTCTGTAAATTTTGATCTGATCAGACAGAGCTAGGAGAGTGATAGAGTAATTGGGCTGTGTTTTGTTGGCAAGGCTCACAAGCAGTATATCACAGATGCACAGCACAAAGGAATAGTGTTGACAAGCAATGGCTTAGAGCTGACCAAGAGACTGCACCTGGTTTTGATGAAATTTTTGAAATATTCCTAGCTGAAGTAGAAAGAAAGCGAAGTGGGAATGAGATCTAAGGTAGAACAACACAAAGCCTGACATGTCTGTAAAGTGTCACTTACTAGCAAAAGTCAAATGTTTTGCTTCACCTTGTAAACAACATGTGTATTACAATCATGGATATAAATAAAAGTTGCTTGTAGGGCTTCTTTACTGTCATGCTTTCATGTTCAAGGCACTTTACAAGTAAAAACAAATTTCTCTTGACAGCTTGCATCAGAAAGTCAGTATCCCAAACTCTCTGAGGACCTGAGGAAATGGGGGTATGGGAACAGATGACTTGCCCAGGGTCTTAAGTGAAATTAGGATCAGAGGCAAGGTATGAAAGTAGATATTTCCACCTTTTGTTTCAGCTCTCAGTTGACCCGGTGTTGACAGGAGTGTGCAGAGTTTGGTGTTTGCAGAGCACTGGATGTGTGAGGGTTACCAGTGCTGTGCCAAGGCAAACTCAGCAGCTCTGTGATGGCGTCACTGGAAGGACAATTAGCCTAAATAGAGGTTGACATAGGTGTGTCCCTCAAGCCGTTTATCTGTCTGAAAAAAAGCTGATCTGGAGTTTTTCATTACTGATTTTTACACTGCTGAGGAAGTGCACTCATCTCTTCCTGGGCAAAATACAATACTAAGATATCACCACCTTTCTCTCCAGACATTTCACTGCCTCAAAACCCGAGAAAACATCATTTTTATTCCCTATCTAGTTATTGAGGTCAAGAGATGATTCAAAAGCACTCAAGTATGCAAGAGGCTTTTTAGTGACTAGGTGGGATTTGCATCCAGGCTTAATGCCCTGGAGAACAGTGGATGAGTGTGTGGTGAGACCAACCTGCATCGACATGAACAGAAGCTGGCATTTCAGAAGAACAAATGTGTTTGGGATGGTAGAAAGTGGCAGCACATGCCTTTGCTTTCATCAAATAAATATTTGGGAATATAGCATATTTATGAGCATAGAAAAAAAGAGAAGATTCTCAAAATTTAAAGAAACATTAATAATTTTTTTTTAATTTTTAATTTAATTTAATAAAAACCCCAACAGATTATTTTTAGTGCAAGCACTTTGACATATCTTCTAACCCAAAAGCAAAGCAAGGAAAGGGCTGAACTTTACTGCAGGTACATGCCGCCATTGCCAACAGGAGGGAGACTGGTATAGGGTCTACAGGGTCTTGCTTGCAAGATCTTTGTGGCAGCAGTTCAGACCTCAGTCTTCCCCCCTGCTTTCAACCCATCACTGGATGACCTCTTGCACCCCAGGAAGGAGCATGGAGAATTCTATGAGTGTGTCTGGGATCATACACTGTCTCCCACTGGATCCTTTCTAAAACCAGGTAGCTTCCAAGAAGAAGGACAACAAAATCAGCTGAGCAGCCTGATATAAGGTGTATGGGTGGGATGGGGAATATGGCTTTGATTCCAATTAATATTTAATTCTTTGTATAGTGAAATGTCTTTGGGAAACTGAGCAGTTTGAAGCTCTGGACAAAGCACTCAGCTGGGAAGTTAGGTCAAACCCTTCTTACAGAGCAGGGGTTTCTTGTCTCTTGGCAGGGAGGGGAACACACTCAGCATTATTTCTGCCTTTGTAATCTTGTGAATGACATCTCAGTCCTTTTGAGAGTCCAGCTCGCAAATCAGTGTAGCTGCTATAAAAAATTCTTCAGTGAGCTGTTGCAGCATTTCCAATTCTGATGTATGCATAAACACATTTCATGATATTCACTAAATTTGATCTAAGAATATTGGTATTTGAATTCACCATTTTCAGCAAATAAATGATTTACTAGAAGAGCTTTACACAGCTTTAAGGAAAATACTGCATAAGAAAAGGCAAAGATACACTACCGACTTAGTTCTCCATGGTTTTTGATTAAGCAGGCCTTGTCTGCTGATCAGTCTTATACTGCACTTGTCCCTATTTAAAGCCAGTTTCTAGTCAGCTCTCAGAGTTCTAAATGTTCATCTGAGGTCACTTTCAGTGCCCACAACCTCAGTTCTTCAGAATTTCAGACTGACCATTTCAGTCACCTCTCTTGAAAACTGGTTGCACACGGTAGTGCCCTTAAATTCCCATCTGATGGCAGGCCAAGCACAAGCACTTCATGATGAAATCTTTTCCTTTCTCTTTTGAGGACGTTTTTCTGTTTTCCTGTACAAGCTCCTGGAGCTCAAACAAAGAAGAATGCTCCCTGGGGAGTTGCCATAGTAACCTGCGATTTTTTTTGTTGTCTGAGATTAAATATAAGCAAGGGAGAAATTACAGAGAAGAATTTTATACCCGAGTTTATAATTTTCATATAATACCAAAGCTGAACTGTACCTCCAACTTCCTACAGCAATAACAGTCACCTTGAGGCTGATGTCAACATGGTAATTTTCACTGGAAAAGAAATTAACTGCTGTATTTATTATTCAAGAACTCTGATTAGAAAAAAAAAATCCACATCTGAAAGATGTAGCAAATAAGAAAGACAATGAGATCATTAGAAATGTAAAGACATGAAAGTGGGAATAGCTGCTACAAATAATATCTAAACTTGCAATGCATGAATGCCCTGCATATTCTATTTTCTTCTTAATAGGGTTCAGTGATAGTCTGCTCTTAAACGTATAGTCAAAGAAGAACTTCAAACCCACATTGTCCTTGGAAAATAGCTTAAACTCTCATAGCACTTACAAGGAAATGATTTTTGAATGTATCAGTATCAGTCCAGCAACAAACATAATGGGAAGATTCAAAATACAAAC